CACACACACACAGTAGAGACAGGAAGGGCGTGGGAAGACAGAACAGAAGGGAACATCAAGAGGGAATATACAACAAGTGTTGGATGACATACGAACAACTGAGGAGGAGGTGAAGAAGCTCTTAAGTGACCTTGACACCTCAAAGGCGATGGGACCGGACAACATCTCCCCATGGGTCCTAGAGAAGGAGCAGAGATGCTGTGTGTGCCTCTAACCCCAATCTTCAACACATCCCTTGAAACTGGGCAACTACCTTTAGAAATGGAAAAAACAGCTAATGTAGTCCCCATATTTAAGAAAGGAAACAGAAACGAGGCACTAAACTACAGACCTGTGTCTCTGACATGATGTGTGCAAAGTCATGGAGAAGATTATCAGGAGGAGAGTGGTCGAACACCTGGAAAGGAACGAGATTATAAATGAAAACCAGCATGGGTTCATGGAAGGCAAATCTTGTATCACAAACCTCCCGGAGTTTTATGACAAAGGTAACCCGAAGTAAGAAATGAGAGAGAGGGTTGGGTAGATTGCGTTTTCCCAGATGCAGGAAGGCCTTTGACACAGTTCCCCACAAGAGATTAGTGCAGAAACTGGAGGATCAGGCACACGTAAAAGGAAGGGCACTGCAATGGATAAGGGAATACCTGACAGGGAGGCAGCAAGAGTCATGGTACGTGAAGAGGTATCACAGTGGGCGCCTGTTACGAGCGGGGTCCCACAGGGGTCAGTTCTAGGACCAGTGCTATTTTTTTATTATGTGAACGACTTTATGGAAGGAATAGACTCTGAAGTGTCCTGTTCGCAGATGACGTGAAGTTTATAAGAAGAATTAAATCGGACGAGGATGAGGCAGGACTGCAAAAAGACCTGGAGAGGCTGGAATGTGGTCCAGTAACTGGCTTCTCGAATTCAATCCAGCCAAATGCAAAGTCATGAAGATTGGGGGGGGGGCAAGAAGACCGCAGACAGAGTATAGGCTAGGTGGACAAAGACTACAGACCTCACTCAGGGAGAAAGACCTTGGGGTGACCATAACACCGAGACATCACCGGGGCACACATCAACCAAATAACCGCTGCAGCATACGGGGCCTGGCAAACCTGAGAATAGCGTTCTGATACCTTAATAAGGAATCGTTCAAGACACTGTACACTGTGTATGTTAGGCCCATACTGGAGTATGGGAGCACCAGTCTGGAAACCCCCACCTGGTCAAGCACGTCAAGAAGTTAGAGAAAGTACAAAGGTTTGCAACAAGGCTAGTCCAGAGTCAAGGGAATGTCGTACGAGGAAAGGTTAAGGGAAATCGGACTGACGACACTGGAGGACAGAAAGGGGCAGGAGAGACATGATAACGCATACAAGAAAACTGCGGGGAATAGACAAGGTGGACAGGGGATAGGATGTTCCAGAGAGGGGACACAGGGACAATGGGTCACAACTGGAGCGAGACTCAGACGAGTCACAGGGACGTTAGGAAGTATTTCTTCAGTCTAGAGTTGTCGCAAGTGGAATAGCCTAGCAAGTGAAGTAGTGGAGGCAAAGGAACCATACATAGTTTTAAGAAGAGGTATGACAAAGCTCAGGAAGCAGAGAGAGAGAGGATCCAGTAGCGATCAGTGAAAGAGGCGGGGCCAGGAGCTGAGTCTCGACCCCTGCAACCACAATTAGGTGAGTACAATTAGGTGAGTACACACACACACACACACACACACACACACACACACAACACACACACACACACACACCACAAACACACACACAAAACACACACACACACACACACAAACACACACACACACACACACACACACACACACACACACACACACACACACACACACACACACACACACACACACAAACATACACACACACAAAACACACACACACACACACACACACACACACCACACACACACAAAACACACACACACACACACACACACACACACACACACACCAACACAACACACACACACACCACAAACACCCCACACCCCACACACACACACACACACACACAAACACACACACACACACACACACACACACACACACACACACACACACACACACACACACAAACACACACACACACAAACACACACACCACCCCACACACACACACACACACACACACACACACACACACACACACACACAAACAAACACACACACACACACACACCACACACACACACACACAAACACACACACACACACACACACACACACACACACACACACACAAACACACACACACACACACACACACACACACACACACACACACACACGTACTCATATACAACAGGCCTAGTGTCTAATCGGCATGTGCCTAGGACAAAATGGTAACTAACACACATACACACGCACGCACGCGCGCGCGCGCGCAGAGGAACAGAATATTTCAGAGATGTGACACAGCAACAAGGGGTCACAGATGAAAGTTGAAAACTTAGATGAGTCACAGGGATGTTAGGAAGTATTTCTTCAGTCATAGAATTGTCAGGAAGTGGAACAATCTGGAGAGTGATGTAGTGGAGGCAGGATCCATAGGAAGAAGAGGTATGATAAAGCTCTTGGAGCAGAGAGTGGACCTAGTAGCGACCAACGAAGAGGCGGGGCCAGGAGGTGTGTTTCGACTCCTCCAACTACAAATAGGTGAGTACACACACAGAGGTGTGGGGACTGGTGGTGAGCGGTGTTCCCCAGAGCTGAGTTTGCGATCCTGCTGTTCCTGTAGTAAATGACTTCCAGAGGAAATTGAATTCAATACTTGTTCATAGGTGAGTAAAATGAACGGGAAAATAGCACCCGGAGGGGGACAAGGGGCCCCAAAGACTTGACCACGTCTCAGATAGGGTCAAGAAAGTAGCTGCGGGAATTCAATCCTGTAGGTCAAAACTGTGAGCAAAAAAAGGGAGGGGAAAAGACTAGACGGGAATACTTTCTCGGATGCAGACGAATATTCAACTTTGGGTTACCCTGTGGGGCAAAGCAGCGTAAGTTATCATGGGCCAGGGGGGCCCCCTGCAGTGCTCCCTTTTTATTTTGAGCGTGGAGCCACAGCAGGTTATATAGAAATTGAGAAATATTAAAGGTTTACAAAAAAACTGGTACTGGGTTTAAGTCGTGAGGAAAAGTCTTCAGTAACTCACCCCCAACATTAAAATTCTTTTTTGTTAAAACTGTACCCCTTAATTAACTTTTTCTATCTTGAAAATTATTTTTCCCTTTTGGTGTTAAAACCTACATTTATGTTTTGCATTTTTCCCCAAGAATTTCTACAAAATTGTGTTTTTAAATTTTAATTTCTGAAGTTGCAAGTGTGGGAACTTTCCACACAACGTGTGTGTGTGTGTGTGTGTGTGTGTGTGTGTGGTGGTGGTGTGTGTTTTTGGGGGTTTTTTCTTTACTTTGTAGCAAGTGGGCGGAAAGCATTTGTCTTAATTTATGGGGTTGTCAGTGGTTATTTTCAATTTTATTTCATAAATCCGTGCCCTTTAGGCTTCCTTTGTTCATTATTGAGGCAGACGTGCGTCTTTTTACTTCATTTTTCCTTCATTTTTTATTTTAATGACAATCCCTTCAGACTGATTAATGAATGAATGGTGAGGTTTCCCATAACTTTATTTATGGTTAATGTGACTTTTTTTTTCCCCCTTTCCCCTTACTACTTCACCCCGTTTATTTGCGGAAGGAAAGGGTTTTAAAAGGGGGCAGTTTAGAGGCCCCCGCCACTTTTAAATAACAGCGGAAGGCAGGAGTGACTGTTGATTGTGCTTTAAGTCCCCGACCATCCCTGAATCCACAAAACTGTAGTGTCACGAAGCCCGTTGGGTTTTCCCCGTTCCTGTATGTTAAGGTTCTCGTTTTCCCCGGCTTGTGATCTCTACAAATTTAAACTTAGGTGACGTTTCAATTTTATTCTTCCACAGTCACTATCGTAAACCTTCATTACTCCCCATCTTCCTTTTTCCCTGAGCTCTCCCTTCCTCATTTTCCTTTGGGCCACATTTACTCAGTGAAAACCCACTTGCACCGAATCGCACCCATTTTTTATAATGCTTACATAAATTTACACTTGGCTATCTTACGCCGAAAAGTTTTTTCTCTTACCTTCCTTCTATTTTCGAAGATGTGTACCCCTAAAGGGAAGGTTCCCTTTATGTTGGTGGGGGGTCTTGATTTAGGGGAAATTTGGATCTGTGCCCATTCCCGAATTAAACCGAATGCCTTCCCCCATCCCCCCCCCAGGGGCCCGTATAATCCCCTGGGTTTAGGCTTCCCCCTTTTATTTAATAAAAATTAAAAATAATCGAAGATGTTAGTAACAAATGACAACGGTCAGGTTTTTCCTGTTTTTTTGTTCACTTTTTTTTTTTTAATATTTGCAATCATGCTTATATATATAATAATATATATATTATAATATATATATATATTTTATATATATATGGCAAAACAAATCAGGGGAGTTGAATAATAGCTCTAACCTTTCATGTTGCAATTTGTAATCACGGGGCTTGCAAAGTTGCAGAAATGAGTAACAAATCTCATGTGTGTTATATATTTTATATATATATATATATATATATATATATATATATATATATATATATTATATATATATATATATATACACGTGTGTGTGTGTGTATGTTACACACAAAGTTGTCTGTGCATATTTCATGTCGTAAGGAAAATGTATCTACGAAGTTGTGTAAAAAATTAAGCATGCATTGATACTTCGTCTCTCTCTCATATCTTTCATTCTATTACAGCACTTGTTAAAAAAAAAAGTCTCATTCTAACAGCTGGAATTGCATCCCCCAGGCATGTATTTATTACGTAAATTAATTTTTCTTTTACAGCCATGAAACAAAAGTATTGTACTATGTGTAATCATGTGGGTGTGGAAGACCTTCATAAATAAAGGTACAAGCTGTTCCCACTGCTTCGTCTGGCATTCCAGGTGTTGTTTTCTTTCCGCAGGGCCATACTGGGCTGGGCATCATGATCATCGAGGGTAAACATGCAGAATACGGCAACGGTATTTTCATCTCCGACCTACAGGAAGGATCAGTAGCTGCTGAGGTAAGGAAGCATTCTTATCTGAATTTACCCCATCACCTTCAGTATTTTTTCAGATATTTCAAGTTTTTCATGCTTGCTGTCCATTGACAATCTTTCTTACAGTGTTATAATTAAGTTTCAACAGTGGAATGCTTAAATTCTCAACCCCTCTACCTGTCACATGGTCGAATCCTGGTTCTTTAGTTGTGAATCGATGCTACCATGAGCCTCAACTGAGTTATCAGTCTAATGAGGGTATTGTATTGACCCTTGGAGTCTAGTAGGACAGCAGAATTTGTGGCGATTTTTTCTCCTCGTAGCTTACAGTTCAGGGAAATTAAGGTTCTACGATGTCCCGATCCTGTCGATCATACTTTCACTTACTTTCCGTCAGAACTTTGCAGCTTGGTTAAGCCAACATACAAGGGTTAGAACATTTGATCTTGGAGACTAAAATTGCGTTCACAGAGGTCCACGATTTCCGTTGTGGTATTCCCGTGTTTGTTCTCCAGCAACTTAAGACTATGGGCCGTCAGTGGAAGGAGGCCAAGAGGCCATAGCTCTATTTTAAGACATTCTGTTTCTGTAGCCTGGTCAATGAGTCAAATGGGCCTGAGAAATAGTTTGCAGGAATGGAAAGTGAGCAGAAGTCTGGCCTTTCAACCCGCTTCGCAAATGAGTCGGATGCATGGATATTCCGACAGTGTACAGTAGTTAATACTCGTTGATAGTGAGTACAGGACTTGAAATTTCATAGTAATTTATTACCCAAGTTTCTCTTTATCTTAACGATGGATATACATATGTGATTGTATAATGTGTTTTAAAGTGTGTGTATATAGTGTTAATTAGAGCGAATATATGGTGTGTTACTTAATAGATATGTGAAATATAAGAGTGGATGTATGCAGTGTTGCTTAGAGTCAGCATATGTAGTGAAGATATATAATTGGTGTTAATATTTCAGGCTGGACTGCTAGTAGGTGACATGATCTTGTGCGTCAACAAGGAAGAAATGGTTGGTATTGATTACGACCAAGCCACAAGTATCCTCAAAAAAACTGAGGGTGTCATCAATATGTGGGTAGCCAACGCTGCCAGAGGGAAGGATGGCAAGGTTCCAGAGAAAGAGAAGGAGAAAGAAAAGGAGAAAGAGAAGGATAAGGAGAAGGATAAAGATAAAGAAAAAGAAAAAGAAAAAGAGAAAAAAAAGCCAGGTACGTACAGTGCCGTGTTCCTAAAATAATGCTTTGCCATTGTGTCTTAAGTAACAACTTGCTTGATGTATCTTCATATTCCTAAAAGATCTTCAGCAATAGGCTATTATATCGAAATTTTGAAGATGTATCAAGAGTATTAACTCTGATCAATACAGTATTAAAGTTAACTTGGTAAAATTATTTTGGAAATCAAATCCACACATCGTTTATAGAAATAGAAGTTTTTTTTTACTTTTTTAAAGTCTTAACAAGCCATAGATACAAGTTACTTTACACTATTTCACAATACAAATTTCTCTCATTTTTTTTACATGTACTGTAAATGAAATAAACTACTTTTATCTCTTAAATTATTTAATACATTTACACTTTAAGGTCGTTTGTGTTTTAATAAAATCCTTAACATTTAACAAATTACATTGGAACACTCGTTCCATAATAGCAAATAAATTATTTTGAAGATCTTTTGAGAGCTTTACGAGATAAACTGACTTTCAGAGGTTGTGTGAACATATAATACTGGCAGTTATGTATGTGTGTGTATTTCCATGTTGCTAAAATGCTATGTATTTTGTGTATATGTTAGCAGAGAAAAGTGTTCATAGATTAGCTGTGCTGCAAACCTCCTGAAGCTACGTGGATCAAACTTGTCCTCTTCATTCCACTTTTCTGGTTTCTTTACAAAGGTAGAAATGGAGAAATGATTGAGTCAGTCAAACCATGTTAATGTAACCTTTAAGTACATAAAAATCTTTATACCGTTTCTGCCTCAGTAACTTCAAATATCTAAGATACGTATAAAGCCTAATAATTTTTTATATATTATTTCTGATATATATTTAAGAGTGGAACAATCAGTACAATCTATAGACGGTTCTTTATTTATTTTTCATATTACTTAAAATGCCTATTTTCCCCTTTTTCTAATAAAGGAAAATTTTCCCCGAACTAAGAAAAAATATATATTGCAGTTTTAAACAGGACAAATTGGCAGAGCTAGAGTTAATGTGGTTTGACTGTTGATGTGTCTGTGTGTTGTATGTTGATGGGTCGGGATACTAACATGATGTGCCTCACTCTCTGTGCTTTTGGCCGTGTGGCGCCGCTGCCTCTACAACCTGGTGATCATTGTGGGCTGGTGCATGGCCCTGTGAGTATGATATGTTAACATGTTATCCCCTCCCTCCCTAAATCTTTGTCAGTCTTTACTGACATCCTCTTTATTATCGTCCACCCACCTAATTTTTTTTATTGTTCACTGACCTCCCTCCTCCATTATTGTTCACTGACCTCTCACCTTTATTATTGTTCACTGAATTACCTCCATTATTGTTCACAGACCTCCCTCATTTATTATTATTCACTGACCTCCCTTCATTATTGTTCACTGACCTCCCACATTTATTATTGTTCACTGACCTCTCACCTTTATTATTGTTCACTGACCTCCCTTCATTATTGTTCACAGACCTACCACCATTATTGTTCACTGACCTCCCACTGTTATTATTGTTCACTGACCTCCCATCTTTATTATCGTTCACTGACCTTCCATCCTCATTATTGTTCACTGACCTCCCACCGTCATTATTGCTAGTCCGTGTGCCTGCCACCATCACTTTTTTCCTCGTATTTTACCGCGTGATGTTAGCGCATTGCCCCTTTTTTACACTTTATTTATTGAATGATTTACTGACTGTTAATTCTCTATATTCTTTGTGTTATCCTACCGCAACTTCATTCCTGTACGGTCCTCTCTACATACTGTTCGCAAATCCATCAATTATGCAAATTTGTAGTTTTTAGTTTACTGTACAAGCGAATCAGTATATTGCAGTACACACAAACACACACACACACACACACACACACACACACACACACACACACACACACACACACACACACACACACACACACACACATACACACATACACACATACAGGGACCAGGAGCTGTGACTCGATCCCTGCAAGAACATAGGTGAGTACAGGGACCAGGAGCTGTGACTCGATCAACGTAGCCACATATAAATGAGCATATATATAATATATATATATATATATATATATATATATATATATATATATATATATATATATATATATATATATATATATATATATATGTCGTGCGGAATAGGCAGAACTTGCGATCTTGGCTTAAATAGCAACGCTTATCTTGCCATATAGGACAAGCGAAAATTTGTGTATGCAACAATTTCGCCAAAATAATTCTGAACCTAACGAAAAAAAAATGTTTCACTGTGTTTGTTTAGCATTAAATTATTGTAAACAAATCTAAAATATATATAGTTGGGTTAAGCTAAAATAAATTGTTATAATAAGGTTAGGTAAGTTTTCTAAGATTCTTTTGGTGCAAAGTTAAATTTTTTTACTTTAACATTAATGAAAAAATATATCTTTAAACGTATAAGAGAAAATTTTAGAAAGGACTTAATTTTAAATGAGTTCTTGCTAATTGACCAGTTTTACATATTCGGCACGACATATATATATATATATATATATATATATATATATATATATATATATATATATATATATATATATATGTATGGAAATTGGTTTTGATGAGTCAGCACTACAACTGTTCTGTTATTGGATCCTGGAGGACAGGATTAAAGGATTATTATGGAAATAAGCCCGGGAGTCTGATGACAGTGGCTCTGTTAGGTTATGAAGAATAAAAGACACTATACCGTGTCTGGAACAATATACTTGGCTTTGGTTGGGGACGAACTGAAACCTCATAACCCTCGTCACCAGAGTGCTGGTGATGTGTGCTGGTTGTTTGGTGGGTTAGCATGGGTTACTAACCATCCCTCGTCACCAGAGTGCTGGTAATGTGTGTTGGTTGTTTGGTGGGTTAGCATGGGTTACTAACCATCCCTCGTCACCAGAGTGCTGGTGATGTGTGCTGGTTGTTTGGTGGGTTAGCATGGGTTACTAACCATCCCTTGTCACCAGAGTGCTGGTGATGTGTGCTGGTTGTTTGGTGGGTTAGCATGGGTTACTAACCATCCCTCGTCACCAGAGTGCTGGTGATGTGTGCTGGTTGTTTGGTGGGTTAGCATGGGTTACTAACCATCCCTCGTCACCAGAGTGCTGGTGATGTGTGCTGGTTGTTTGGTGGGTTAGCATGGGTTACTAACCATCCCTTGTCACCAGAGTGCTGGTGATGTGTGCTGGTTGTTTGGTGGGTTAGCATGGGTTACTAACCATCCCTCGTCACCAGAGTGCTGGTGATGTGTGCTGGTTGTTTGGTGGGTTAGCATGGGTTACTAACCATCCCTCGTCACCAGAGTGCTGGTGATGTGTGCTGGTTGTTTGGTGGGTTAGCATGGGTTACTAACCATCCCTCATCACCAGAGTGCTGGTGATGTGTGCTGGTTGTTTGGTGGGTTAGCATGAGTTACTAACCATCCCTCATCACCAGAGTGCTGGTGATGTGTGCTGGTTGTTTGGTGGGTTAGCATGGGTTACTAACCATCCCTCGTCACCAGAGTGCTGGTGATGTGTGTTGGTTGTTTGGTGGGTTAGCATGGGTTACTAAACCATCCCTCGTCACCAGAGTGCTGGTGATGTGTGTTGGTTGTTTGGTGGGTTAGCATGGGTTACTAACCATCCCTCGTCACCAGAGTGCTGGTGATGTGTGCTGGTTGTTTGGTGGGTTAGCATGGGTTACTAACCATCCCTCGTCACCAGAGTGCTGGTGATGTGTGCTGGTTGTTTGGTGGGTTAGCATGGGTTACTAACCATCCCTCGTCACCAGAGTGCTGGTGATGTGTGCTGGTTGTTTGGTGGGTTAGCATGGGTTACTAACCATCCCTCGTCACCAGAGTGCTGGTGATGTGTGCTGGTTGTTTGGTGGGTTAGCATGGGTTACTAACCATCCCTCGTCACCAGAGTGCTGGTGATGTGTGCTGGTTGTTTGGTGGGTTAGCATGGGTTACTAACCATCCCTCGTCACCAGAGTGCTGGTGATGTGTGCTGGTTGTTTGGTGGGTTAGCATGGGTTACTAACCATCCCTCGTCACCAGAGTGCTGGTGATGTGTGCTGGTTGTTTGGTGGGTTAGTATGGGTTACTAACCATCCCTCGTCACCAGAGTGCTGGTGATGTGTGCTGGTTGTTTGGTGGGTTAGCATGGGTTACTAACCATCCCTCGTCACCAGAGTGCTGGTGATGTGTGTTGGTTGTTTGGTGGGTTAGCATGGTTTACTAACCATCCCTCGTCACCAGAGTGCTGGTGATGTGTGCTGGTTGTTTGGTGGGTTAGCATGGGTTACTAACCATCCCTCGTCACCAGTGCTGGTGATGTGTGCTGGTTGTTTGGTGGGTTAGCATGGGTTACTAACCATCCCTCGTCACCAGTGCTGGTGATGTGTGCTGGTTGTTTGGTGGGTTAGCATGGGTTACTAACCATCCCTCGTCACCAGTGCTGGTGATGTGTGCTGGTTGTTTGGTGGGTTAGCATGGGTTACTAACCATCCCAGTTAATGATTCCAGTGAGATCAATATCTTCTGACGCTTGAAAAAAAAAAAACTAAAAATGCAGTGTTTGTGAAGTCATACTAGGAATGATAATACAATTTCCATACTAGGTATGATACTATAATTATACTAGTTATATAATTATACTAGGCATGATACAATTATCATACTAGGTATGGTGATACAATTATCATACTAGGTATGATGATACAATTATCATACTAGGCATGATACAATTATACTAGATATGGTGATACAATTATCATACTAGGTATGATGATGCCATTATCATACTAGGTATGATGATACAATTATCATACTAGGCATGATACAATTATCATACTAGGTATGATGATGCCATTATCATACTAGGTATGATACAGTTATCATGGTAGGTATGGTAATACAATTATACTAGGCATGATACAATTATCATACTAGGTTTGATGATGCCATTATCATACTAGGTATGATGACGCAATTATCATACTAGGTATGATGACGCAATTATCATACTAGATATGATAATTGTACTTATGTCTGCCTGATGTTTAGATAAACTTGTATTAAGGACCCAGTGGAAATAAGTCACCTTGACCTTTTTTTTTTTGAGGTTATCCTAGGTAATTTACACATACGTTGCAGTGTATGATAATCTGTGTGTCTGTACGTGTACCTAAATAAACCTGCTCGCTTATTTCTGTTTGTATACTAGTTAGTCTTGCTGCCTGAGTTATACACCAGCTTCCCGTTTTCTAGAGTGGTGTTGCAGGCAGCCTGGCTGTCACTCCTCGCTCTATTACATGGATAAGTTATCACCCCCTTACCCCCCTCTCTCTGTCTCTCTCAACCCTTCCACTCCTTGTCAAACCACTGCAGGATATACACACCGAAAGGTGTATTTCTCTGTGTATATACGCTGAGAGTTTAGTTTAATACCTTTTATTTTTGAGGATAAACGTGTTCTTGTCTGAGGTTACGTGTAACCTTTAAGTAAGTGTATTTAGGCACAGGTACACATTAGTATAGTTATCATAAATAGTGAAAATTTCCTAGGATAACCCCAAAAAGTCGATAGGCTTGAAACCCCCATTAACCACCCTCCCAAGCTGCCCATGCTAGTACATGTACCTCATTTCTATTTAGTCTCATTATAGTTTACAAAAGTGATTCATGCCTTTCCTATAGCTAAATTTGTTGGTTATTATTATTTACATACAGGAAGAATGGTGTTCCTTGAACAGTTGTCTTTTTAATCTGGGAATATACCAAGATGTGTTTACCTACCATATACGCTGATTAATCGCCGTTTTAGTGGTTAAAAGTATTTTCTACTGGTGAACAGGTGACATGTAGCCTTACTGAATCTCTGTGTAGTTTTATGCACCTGTCCGAGTGTAAACAAGCACGCATCTACATATGGTGGAGTAAGGTTAATAGGGTAGGGTAGGTTGGGTTAAGTGGGTTTTGCTAGGCTAGTTCTGTATTTTTTTTTTCCACTTAAACAGTAACAATATCATTTTGGATATAAAACCAAACCTAATGTTGCACAATTTATACTATATAATAGTCAGAATCTGCTGAAGAACATTCCTATACTTTTTACCTAAGTTCTCACTTGCACAATTTGTCAACTCAATCGAGTCATACAAAACAGTAAAATACGTACATATACATAGTCATGGGAAGAAAAGAAGGTGAGATTCTTGTAGAGGTGAGTAGAATCATTGGTGTGTGATAATTGTGATTTGTCATGAGGATGTTGGAGGTATGCACTGCTCAGTTATGCCAAAATGCTGCCTGGTCTCAAATATTGCCCAATTTCTGTACTATGCATACAGTTTGCCTCTTCAGTCTAAATACAGAGGAGACAACACTAGTAGTAATGTAGATATCAGGTGGTCAGTCCCTCAGCCTTGGTCTCTTGAACTCCATTGCTTTGATCAAATTTGTTTCAGCTGCAGGACTGATCACCTCATCTAAGTCAATACTTAGTTCTCTGTTTCAACTACAGAAACCTACTGAGCAGGCAAACATTTCTTCAGTAGGTAGCAAACTTACACTTGTCTTGAAAATCTGCTTGTGGGTATTGAATTAATATGATGGTGAAACTGTTTTTAAAGCTGCTCTTGTGGATATACAACAGCAATATAGTTGAAAGGCATGGGGGTAACTGAGCTAAGTGAGTAGCGACAGTAAATAGGTGTTTAAGTTCTTGTAGCATTAGTCGACTGTTGTGGGTGGCATCCTGGGCAAGGTTAGACACTGACATATCTCTACATTTGCTGCTGCTGTTCATCTAGGTGAATATGGTACTTGGGTGTTTGTCAACTTTTGTGTAGGTACATTCTGGTGTTTTAGAACCTATTTCACAGGCTGTTCACATAGTTCATTGAACCAACCCAAAAAATGTGTTTTTCATTCTTCAAAATGTAGTGCTTAGTATTACTTAGTACTAAGTAATACTTTTAGTCTATGTCTCCCTGGCATTGCCAGGTGTGCTTGGGAGTTGATGAAAGATTGCAGTATGATCCCCAGATGGTGGAAGTAACTGACAAGGGGTCACACCATCACTTGATCCCTATTGAGGAGATTGTGGCTGAATGAATCTGGGCATTACTTTAGCTGCTGGGCCATGCCAGTCAGACCGATTATTTGACAGATAAGAGAGTTTGAGTCTTATGTGCAGCAAAAAAACTATATATTACTATTTACTTGAGCCAGAGTATTGATGAAATACTCCTGTGTGGCCCTTAGCTTAAGTTTGTGTGTATTTTTTTTTTCCAACATACCAGCCATCTCCCTTCAAGGCAGGGTGACCTAAAAAGAAAAATGCAAGTTTTTCTTTTTTCGCATGTAGTAATTTATACAAGAGAAGGGGCTACTAGCCCCTTGTTCCAGGCCTTTTAGTCACCTTTTATGACATGCATGGCTTACAGAGGAAGGATTCTTTTCACTTCCCCATGGGCATAAATTTAGTATGCAGTGGGTCAGACCATCACTTCATCCAGATAATTAGGTTAGGTTAATGTAAATAAACCAATTCCCTAAGAATGAAGAAAAATGCCTAACTGGGGAGTATGTTCTCTCGACCAGGTAAACACGAAGATTCTTTATGATTGCATGTACAGAAACCAGGGTTGTAGCATCGTGAGTGTTGCAGGCCTGTGTAGCACACTGGCCTGCATCTTTGGAAGACCATTTTGCAGTAAGACATCTAACTTAATTGCATTCATCTACAATACAGTAATTCTTAAGGTACTGTATGACCTCTATGGGTTTACCTCTGTCCCATAAAAATTAATAATGAGCATTTGTTCATATGATGGCATTAACCAAGTAGCAGCCTGTGAACTGGGTGTGATTGGTGTGTTAATGGCAGATGTATATTTGAATTGGAAACTCTGGTTAGGATGATACATTATACAGTAAATGCATGTACATTTATTTTAAAATACTCTGGGGCTACAAAGTCTTAAATTGGGCAGGCTGTATTATGGTTTTAGTTTACAGATACATTATCTATACAGTGGTCAAGTTTTGTAATTTAGCTTATGAACAGTTCAAGCACAAGTTGTTTAATTATACGTAGTATATATTGGAATTATATTTTCTCTCGACATTTGTAAATATTTTACATACTTTTTAAACTTGTATTTTAAAAATTCGTGAATGTTATCTTTTCAAAATGAATCTCAACCACCTGCCTCCGCTCACCCCAATCTGACATGCATGCTGGATGCTCAAGCCCCCTAACACTTAAAAACCTCATTCACAAGTTCCCTCCAACCCTTCCTGTGTAGAATAGATGGTTCCGGCAATCATCGCCCTGGCTGTCCTTGGACCAGGTCATTTTTGGGCATTTTAGAATAAATGCTCTGAACTAATATATATGATATACATTTCAGTATAGTATATTTGTTATTAATAACAGGCAAGCTTATTTTTCTTATTTTACTGGCTGTCTAATGTGACTTGGCTGATTTTTCTATATAACTATGCTTAATATAGCAAAGAGCATTCCTGGCAATAGACTTTATTCCTTATATTTCATAATACTGTACATACTTACCTCTAAGTTATGAATGGGATATTTCTACCTTAATTGTTTAGCGGTGTTAAAGCCTGATATCTTTTAATACAATTTTTTTTTAACAATTCGAAAGTTTATTGTGCAGCATTTTTAAATGCAATATATTTCTGCAGATGTGCCACCAAAACCAACGTTGGCCCCCAAACCTGCCCTTCCTGCCAAACCCCCTTTGCTCGCCGCAATGTTGCCTGCATCGGTACCTGTTTCGTTAATGGATGAACCTGTCATACCCTCCTCGCCCCCATTACCCCCTACTCGACTGGCACAAATGGACCGATTACCTTCACATGCCCAAACATCCATAACATCCACTACTTTGTCAACTTCATCTACGTCTTCTCCATCCTCGCTTCCTTCTACAGAGGAGAAACCTCAGGTTAGGTTGCTATATATAAAAATTACAGTATTTACTTTTTAATTTTTACATTTCAGGTTTCGGAGCTCAAAATCTTTAAAATATCATTTACCATTCTACTTGATATTTAATGCAGGTTACTGGATCTTTAAAATTTTCCAGGAAAGTATCAAACAGATTTCATTTCTGCTTCCAGATTGTAAAAATGAGCTATGATGTTAGGTAATTGATTACTTTCAAAGTATTCCATGTAAAAGTTAGATTGGATTATTCAGTGATGAAATCCTTCATCGTTGAAAGAAAATGCATTAATAGATATGCATTACTTAGATAGGACACTGGTTTCGGACACAAAGCAGTAGGTCACTAGTATACACCACTGTGTTTAAAATATGCATTACCAGCAATTCTTGTGAAATCAGTGAGGCTCAACATTTCTGTTGTGCAATTGAAGTGTTGTTTTGTTAATATAATCTTGCAGCTGGACAATTGTATATATATGGGTGAATTTACTAAAATGTGGAGAGACTACTAAGCCATTTAGCTAGTTTTTAGGAGAATGATCATCTGTCATATATGATGGGTCTTAACAGAATTTTTTCTTTTATCCTCTGATGCCATTTTTCCTCATACTCTATCAGACTTACTTGTTCAGAAACTTCAAAATATAAACTGGCCATCTCCCAAGATAAGTCTACAAACCATTTCTCATCAGATGCACACACTTATAAACCTGCCTCTTGCATTTCACCTATACTGCAAAGTACACTGTTGACTTAAACATTTTATGCCCCCCTTCCTTTCAATTCACAATTGTTCATTAAATATTCCAGCTACTCCTCCTCTTGCTGTCAGTCAGTCTCATTGTATCAGATATAACATCCACCTTCCATATATTTTTAACTTTAATAATGTTTTTCTTATATGTTTGCACACTTTTATGTATGTAGCATTATAATTCTTAATATTCGTTAATATTTGCGCACCTCTTTAAAATACAAATCCGAGTAATTATAAGCATTCCATTAAATCATGAAATCATGTTGATAACAAATTGTGTAGAGGAGTCATATGGTCATGGTAGGTACACATGGTAACCACATACCAAGTATTCAGAATAAATAAATAAAGGATTTAGTATTTCAGAAAAAGAATAGCTTTATTAAGTGTGTGCCTCAGCAACATCGAGAGGTTTAATATTTTTAACAAAAGTGAGAAGCTGTTTACAGTAGCTTTTCAGCAGTGTCAGAAGTGAAGGGCATGCTAATAAACATTATCCTGAATCCCAGCTGGAGTCAGTAAGCATTTAAAACAGTTTAGTGCAACACAAGGGGTAAGCCATTATAAAAAACTTAAGCAGTTTTTCTCATTTTGCTGCTCTGAACTTTTCATGGTACAGAGGTAACATGTTTGGTGCAAGGGAATGTTGAAACCAGGTGACCTATTCGTTATATGTTGTGTACATTTTCTATAGTGTAATATCTGTTTACATTGACAAGAGTGAATAATCTGTGAATTAAACATTGCCCCAAAACCCAAGTGTAATTGGGAAGTACTACATAAACCTTGGTTTAGGGAATCTGTAGTGGCCATTTACATTCTATGTGCTTGATAACTGTATTCATTAAGGTTCCTAAGCCTTTAATGGTACCGGTCTAATGAACTGCTAGATGTATGACCCTTGTGGGTTTAGTGCTTAGTTATGATTGTAATAATGAACTGGTAAAATTTCTCATTTATGTCCCTGTAAATTTAGGCACTTTGCTGTATGGTTAGGACTATTATATTGGCCTGGGTAAATGATATATTACTAGTCTGAGGCTCAGCATTGAATATTGCATCCTCTTGAGTTTTTCAATAGTATCATAGTCATTTATAATCTGCCTGAATAAGTAAATTTAATTTAATATTTAGAAATAAACTTTAATTCATTTATTCTGAACAGAATGATTTTCTGATTACATTTTTTAGCAGACTGAGTGTTAAGAACCCATTAGCCTATTTTTCAGCTTGAGACCTGTCAGTTTGAATTGACTAGTTGACTTAAAATTCTTTTGTGCCTATTGTGGTTATAATGTGTGTAATGATATTAAATTAGTCACAGTAGTAAATTGGTGTTAACAGTTGACAGTTTTTGATAATTGAAAATTGGTAATGAGGGTAGTTAATTATAGTTAATATTGTTAGCAGCTGTCACATTTAGAATGCTGAGTAATTTTAATAGTTTTACTATGCAAATCGTTAGGCTCAACTCCACAATTGAAGACCAAACGTTTTTCTAGGACCCAGCAACTGCAGAGATCCGGCCAGGCAAGGAAACAACTATAGAGATTGTCAAGGAGAAGATGGGACTTGGTCTATCCATTGTGGGAGGCTCAGACACACTTCTGGTGAGTGATTTTACAGAGAACTTTCTTTGCCTTTCCTCAGAGCAAACGTCATTACCACCCCTTTCCTAGATGTGGTATAACCCCTATGGGTTTAGCTCTCCCCCATGGTAAGTATGTTAAACTAAAATCATACTTGGCAAAATATTCTGTAAAATATTTTTTTCTAATACCATACCATATGTAAATATCAGAGAGCATTTGTGTTTGATACTTAACCCCTAAACGGTCCAAACGTATATATACGTTTTTATGCATAGCGTCCCAAACGCATATACTACATACGTTTTAATTTTCCTGCCTCCAAATTTGGCAGGATTGCCCTGAGATGCCTGGTCAGCATAGAATGGGTCTTAACACTCGGTGTGCATCATATTAAAAAAATCTGGGACCACTTGTGCTCTTTTTTTTTCTATATACGTATATATATATATATATTTTTTTTTTTGTCAAAATATTCGGGGCGCTCCACAAGTGAACGTATATATACGTTTGGACCGTTTAAGGGTTAATAATTATATAGAGTACAGTATGTGGAGTGTATTTTAGTGAGATAAGCTTAATACTTCCTCCAGTATTTTTGGTATATTGTATGCAAACTGGCAGTAAAGTCTGTGCCCTTGTCACATCATGCACTTGTGTGTTTCGTTGGTAAGTTACTCTTATAGTTTGTCTTGCAATGTAGGGAAACTCTGCAGTAAGGTTAATAGAGTGCATTATTTGCTGTTTATGTCAAAATGGACGAAAAAAGCAACATGTTACTATGCTACAATACAGGTCTCCCTCAACATTCACGTTTTTAACTTTCACGGGCTTCACACATTCGCGAATTCCCAACCGCCAAATTCCCAGCCACCAAATTCCCAGCCGCCAAATCATATTTAAGTTTCCCGTCACCTGCGAGTCCCTGCTACCCTCCCTCCGACCCCTGCAACTGGCAGCCAGCCCTCCCACCACTCAGTGTGGTGAGTGTTTTGTTTGTTCATTATTTGCTATTAAACTACAGCATAAATAATGTAAACCCATTCATGACTGCATATTGGAATGGCTATTCGGACAGGTATTAGACGGTGACATCATGTGTTTACTCTTGAACACTGCAAAGAATTAAACATTTCTGCTACAGCTAATAATAACAATAGTAATAATAATAATAATAATAATAATAAAATAAATGATATAATTGAAGAAGGAAATTGTACAAAAATACGAGGGAGTGGTTGACACATCGTCAGTGTGACTTTGTTTATGCTGGAGTGAACATTAGTCTCCCTGCTCTTCCAAACATTTCACAATAATTCATTGTGTTTGGTGCTTGTAGATTGAGTGTGACTGGAGTGGTAGAGGCAGTGATTGAGGCAATGGTATTTTCATAACATACATCTTAATAATAATACATGTTTTAATAATATGTACTATTTATTATAACATATGTTATTATACATACATGTTAATAATAATACATGTTATTAATAATAACATGTACTATTATTATTTATAACATATGTTATTAATACATACATGTTAATAATAATACATGTTATTAATAATAACATGTACTATTATTATTTATAACATATGTTATTAAATACCACTGCCTCAACCGCTGAATTATTGTGAAATGTTTGGAAGAGCAGGGAGACTAATGTTCACTCCAGCATAAACAGTCACACTGACGATGTGTCAACCACTCCCTCGTATTTTTGTACAATTTCCTTCTTCAATTATATCGTATTTATTATTATTATTACTATTATTATTATTATTATTTTTATTATTATAATTATTATTATTATTATTATTATTATTATTACTATTGTTATTATTAGCAATAGCAGAAATGTTCGATTCTTTGCTGTGTTCAAGAGTAAACACATGATGTCACCTTCTAATACCTTTCCTAATAGCCATTCCAATATGCAGTCATGAATGGGTTTACATTATTTATACTGTAGTTTAATAGCAAATAATGAACAAACAAACCACTCACCACACTGAGTGGTGGGAGGGCTGGCTGCCAGTTGCGGGGGTCGGAGGGAGGGTAGTAGGGACTCGCAGTGGTGGAATCTGTGGTATTTAATAACATACATGTTATTAAATAACATACGTTATTAAAGCATAACATGTATATATTTAGTACAATTTACGACGTTTTCATGTATTTTATGATTATTCATGGTTCAACAAGTTAAGGAAGCAGTATTGTAATATATTTCCCTACAATATATTGGGGCACCAAACATTCACGGTTTTTCAACATTCGCGAGGCTCTTGATCCCCTAACCCTCGCGAATGTTGAGGGAGACCTGTATTAGTTTTCTGATGTATGTACAGTAGCAAGGCATCTTCAACTGCTATTACATGGAAGACGCAGTGCCATAAGGCCCATAAGTCGATTGTTCAGAACTCGGAACCTATTTTCCCATAGACACTTTGTTATAACCAGATTCATTATTAGGCCATAATTATCTAATTTTATTTGATTTTTTCCAAAAAAATTTTTACCCAATATTTACCATTCCATATTAGGTGTTTAGTGTGGGAAGGCAGTGGAGAATTGCCAAGAAGTGTGGCCAGCTTGTGCAACATTAGAGTGTTTGACATTTCACTGGGACTTCTTTAAGTAATGCTTTAGCTTATTGAAAATTGGCAGTTAAGATGTCGTCACTTCTTCAAGGCCAAAAAAAATTATATAATTAACGATTTGTGTATTTATCCTTCTTCCATTTAAATGTACTGTACATCATTTGTGAATTTTAAGTGTTTAATGTAGATTAGCCTTACTACCAACCTTAGACAAACCATTGCATCAGATGTGGTGATGCAGACAGACTTTTCTTGCTACTTCTGGTTTTCAACTTTCTGCCTTTAAAATTTTAATAATTTATAGAGCTGTCATTGAATTTGGAACATAATACTATATAGATCTGCAAAACAGCAAGCAAAAAGTAAATAACAAAAAGGCACAATACCGTGGCTGGAACGATACACAAATAACCCGCACATAAAAGAGAGAAGCTTACGACGACGTTTCGGTCCGACTTGGACCATTGACAAAGTCACACTGTGACTTTGTCAATGGTCCAAGTCGGACCGAAACGTCGTCGTAAGCTTCTCTCTTTTATGTGCGGGTTATTTGTGTAGCAAGCAAAAAGTGTCGGAATTGTATATCATTTTTTAAGCCACATTTTCAAGCAAATATGTCCTGAATGTGGGAGTAACTAGACAGCTACCACAGCCTAAATAAATGAAAAAAAAATAAATACTAATCTACATGGTTCTTGACGTGACTCAAATAAATGTGAGCCCTGTACATGCTTCAAATAAACATTCACAAAGTATGAATGCATTTGATAAAATGCATTCATACTTTGTGAATTATTTAATTAAAATGATTTGTTTGAATACAGTTGACTCTTTTTGCACTACCACAAGTTATGTTTTCTATATAACACAATTGAAATTGTTCCCGGTTACATATTTCATGGAAAGGTGACCTTGCAGTCACGGTGTAACTTGGAAGGTCATGGTGTGAAAGGTTTTCTGTTTAAGGATTTCTACAGCCTGGGAAAAGCCATCTGCTGATTCAGGCAGGGTATGCAAGAGCATTTGGTTCCATGTAAGCTGTGGTGGTTCTGTAAACCTCCAACAACCACTCCTGCAATATTCTATTACAGTACATGTTTGATTTAGGTGAGGAGAGTTCCTACATGTTTTGCACAATTTGATAAGAAATATGGCTGATTTTTACCAATGCTGAACTGTTGATGGCAGGTGATGGTGGTAGTGGTGGTTGATACTCCTTGCTTGTACAGGTATTGTACAGGGCCACAGCAACCATTGGTACAATTTGATAAGGATTTTTTTTGTTATATATAGATGACAGCCTAGGTAATAGGTTGGTAGACAACAACCACTCAGGGAACTAAGTGTAACACAGTAACCTGTAATTGTTTTACATGATGGTAGGATTGCTGGCGTCTTTTTTCTGTCTCATAAACATGTAAGATTTCAGGTACATCTTGCTACTTCTGCTTACACTTAGGTCACACTACACTTATCTCCATGGGGAAATGAAACAGAATTCTTCCCACCGAGTCAAGACATGAGTGTTGTAAGAGGCAACTAAAATGCCAGGAGCAAGGGGCTAGTGACCCCTTCTCCTGTATTCATTTTAGGCCACTGCCTCGGTGGGATATGGAAAGTCGTTGAAAAAAAAAAATATGGATGACAGGTGATGGTGGAAGGTGAATCTTCATGTTATATGTTAATATAGTATTGTATGGTAGAGATCATTTCCTGCCTGCATAGAGCCAATAAAGCATTTAAATTAGTGGGAATGCCTCAGAAGTCTGAATTTGTGTTATGGAGTGAAGGATAGAGATACATGATAATGTATACAGTGGTACGTTGACTTACGAGTTTTCCAAGTTAGGAGCTGTCGCTCGGATGATTTTTTGCTTTGAGTTGTGAGCCAAAATCCAAGTTACAAGCAAGCTTCAGATACGCCGCCACTAGTTGGCGGCATATCTGAAGTTCAAATCCAACTCTGTACCCAGAGGAATGTCAGGTACTTTGTCCCATCCCACATGTTCTTCCAAGACATAACTGGAAGATAATACTCCCACACTAATCCCAGATTGTAGTGAGGCACTTTGTCCCTTGTTTGGTTCTCGTATAAATCCGGGGAAGGGGCAACCTCCATTTCAACACTGAGTTTTTCCAGAAACTTTAAAGAAGGCCTCTGTGATGTTTACCTACCTCATGGAGGTTCCATTGGTGGCAGGTGGAGTAGTGTTGGTGGTGGGTGGAGTAGTAATAGTGGTGGGTGGAGTAGTGGTAATGGTGGGTGGAGTAGTGATGGTGGTGGATGGAGTAGTGATGGTGGTGGGTGGAGTAGTGATATTGGTGGTTGGAGTAGTGATGGTGGTAGATGGAGTAGTGATAGTGGTGGGTGGAGTAGCATAGTGGTGGGTGGAGTAGTGAAGGTGATAGGTGGAGAG